GTGCCGGTCCGCCCCGCTCTGAGGGGCCGGGGCTGTCCCCGCGCGCGCCGGGTCCCGCGAGAGCCGCGAGTCTCGCGAGCTCCCGGAGGGGCGGCTCGGGGCTTTCGGCGCCAAAACGCGGCGGGCGGGGCGAGGCGGCTGAGGCGACCCCAGGGTAATGGAGGCCGGCAATGCTGAGGGTGGGAAAGAACATTACAGATCATCTCATCCTCATTCCAACCCGCCTGCTGTCGGCAGGGGCACCTTGCACTATCCCAGCTTTCTCCAAGCCCCGTCCAGCCTGGCTTTGGACACTCAGGGATAGAACAGCTGCTCTGGGCAAACCGTGCCATGGCTGCACCACTGTCACAAGGAGGAATTTCATCCTAATAGCCCAGAATTTCATCCTAATATTCCATCTAAATCTGCTCTTCTGTTTGAAGCCATTCTCTCGTCCTGTCTCTCCAGACCCTTGTAAATAGTCCCTCTCCATCCTTCCTGTAAGGTCCCCTCACGAACTGGAAGGGCACCCCGAAGCTCCTCCAGGCTGAACAATCCCAGCTTTCCCAGCCTTTCCCCACAGGAGATGTGCTCCATCCCCTTGCTCATCCTGGTGCCCGCTCTGGACTCCCCTTCCTGTGCTGGGCCCCAAGGTGGTGCAGCTCTGCAGGTGGGGTCTCACCTGGGCAGGGCAGAGTGGCAGAATTCCCCCTCACCTGCTGCCCACGCTGTGGGATCAGCCCAGGACACACTTGGCTGTCTGGGCTGCCACTGCACATGGCCAGGGCATGTCCAGTGTGTCACCCACCAGCACCTCCAGCTGCCTGGAGTGTTACCTTGTCAGGGAAAACGTGCTGCAGATTACTGCTTAACTTGAAATATCCCATGTTGCAAAGCTCCACCATGAGTCACCTCCAGGAATGGGTTTTAAAATTGTTGAGCTCCTGTCACTTCACTGAATCACAGAATCCCTGAGGTTGGAAAAGACCTCCAAGGTCACCAAGTCCCAGCTGTGACTCATCTCCACCTTGTCACCAGCCCAGAGCACTGTGTGCCATGTCCAGGAATTCCTTGGACGTGAATTCCTCCAGGGATGGAGACTCCAAACCTCCCTGGGCAGCCCTTTCTGTGGAGAAATTCCTGCAGCTGTCCAACCTGAGCCTCCCCTGGTGCAGCTT